TGGGGCGTGGTGAAGGGCGACGCAGGCGAGGCTGTGCGGCGCTGCGCAGGCACGACGCTTGCACGGCGACGCGGCACAAGCACAGCGGCTAGGCACACGCAACTGCGAGGCAAGAAGAGCTCCTCAAAAGTGAAGAAAAGGATGTGTTTACTGATTGAAAATGTTCACTGAAGCATATATTCCCTTGTGCTATTCAAAATAGCCTCCTTGATTGATTTATACTAACTGTGCACACACTTTATTGCACAAAACATGACCATCACAAATTGAGAAACATGCTGGTTCAAATAGCCTCTCCATGACATATATCAGTACTGATTACATGCAGTGATTACATGCTAGTACATTGCATATACAGGAAGATCACAGCTTAACATACAACCCCAGAATTACAAATACACATGCTACAAATGCATACAGAAGCACACATCTTCCCTTATCTAATATATTATTTTTAGCAACTAGATTAGCATTTTCCAGCATCTTTTTGCTTCCCCATTGCTTCCATCTGTTCCTTGTGCCTAGCAACATTGGCCTCCATCTGCACCTTTGCATCAGTGACATGCTTGAGCTCTGTGGCATACCTGTGCACCGTCCCGTGCTTGAGCCTTGCCGCCGTGCGAGCGTCGCGCCGCTGCGCGTGTGCCTCGCCGCTGCGCTTGTGTCGCACCGCCGCGTGTCTCGCTCCGCCGTGTGAGCGTCGGAGCCTGCGCAGCGCGCGCCGCTCGCGCCGCAGAGCCTCGCCTACGTCGCCCTTCACCACGCCCCAGTGCAGCCCTTCACCACGCCGTTGCGCCGCCCAGATCCACCTGCGCCGCTAGGGTTAGGGGTTTGGGTGGGGAATTTTTCGCGAGGGAGAGGGAGAGAGAGGATAATTTAGACTATTTAGGGATAATTTTATGTAACTGGCACATCATTTGCCACATGGGAGTGCCATGTCAGACCAAAGGGGTAAAACCAGCCGAAATTGGTCGCGGGGGGTTAAGTGTCCAAATTGAATAGTTAAAGGAGGTATTATGTCTGGTATCATAGTTTAGGGGGTAAAGCATACTTTCGTAAGAGTCTAGGGGGTAAATCGGACTTAACCCTTCCTTAAAAAATCAATGGCAAGCTCAACTATGTATTTTCCTGGCGCCAAGCTTTATAATTGTTCACGGATTCGCCTAGAGGCACCGAGGCCTCCAAGTATGCACTGGCATCCCTAAAAACTTTAAAACTAAATAGAAAAAACTTTAGGCATCACCTATGGATTAGTGGTCTAAATTATAAAATGGGTGTTCATATTTATAGTAGTGCACAATAAATGGCATGTTGTGCACACCGAGGAAAATATTTTTGGTCCGACGGCTTGAGCTAGTGGTTAATAGAAGCTTCCGTTCATAAAAAGTATTTTTCTCTTAAGCTCTGTGAAGTTTATCTTCCGCGTGTGAGGTCAAAATATACACTTCGCCGACTCAAGGTTTGTGATCGAGGCGTAGTAGTGGTAACAATCGATTTTACCTCCTATAAACAAAAAAAGGAAAAATCCGTGCCAACCTGATTGGCAGCAGAGGAATCTTTTGTACTACTCCTATATTTAAGAGTAAAATGATACTTCCTCCGTCCCTAATATAGCAATCTAGTACTGGACGAGATACTTAATAGTACAACGAGTTCATACATACTTCCTATCCAGAGAGTTAAGACATACTTCGATTCGTTTCGTTGTACTATAAAGTGTTCCATCTAATTTTAGATTGCTATATTATAAGATGGAGGGAGTAGCCAAAATGATAGGGATCAATCCAGCCATGGGCAGTTATGCATAGCCGCATTCAACGCCAGTAAATTAATTCCATTTTGATTTCTAATCCAACTAGTCAAACAAAGAGTAAGCTTCTGACAGCAGATAAGCATCTGGTATGCATTGTAAGCAGATGCAAACAGCGTAGGGAGGAAACAAAAACGAACTTTAAGGCTCATGTCAATATTACTTAAGGTGTGTTTATTTCACGTCAAAAATAGAAGTTTGATTGAAATTGAAATGATGTGACGGAAAGACGAAAGTTTATATGTGTAGGAAAGTTTTGATGTGATGGAAAAGTTAAAAGTTTGAAGAAAAAGTTAGAAACTAAACCAGGCCTTAGTACAGAAACCAAACAATTTGGTGTGTTGATCCTATTAGATCATCCAAACAGTGTAGGGAGGAAACAAAAAGGATCTTTAAGGCTCATATCAATATTACTTAGTACAAAAACCAAACAATTTGGTGTGTTGATCCTATTAATAGGATCATCCACATTAGTCGGCAATGGAACTCTGGATTCATATATATGATGCAGCAGGTCCTGCCTTGGGATAAAATATCAAACCACAAAGGCAATCGATCATACCATTGGGAATGAAATATCAAACCACAGGCACAGAGTAGACCAAATCAGATAATACAGTAAAAGGAAATGAGCAGACTCAAACTTCTCTGTTGGGAAGACCTCAAATAAGAGCAGGAGCTCTGTCGTCAGTGTAGAACAAGTGTTCTGCCATATGTACAGAAATGTGACGATTGGCAAACCAAGACCATAACCAATGCAGGAAACTTCAGAAACCAAGCCAGAAGTTCATTACCATAATACTACTAAGTTTCAAAAAGGAACACTATTCATGCAAAACAAGTACAGGTCCTCTCTTCTTTCTAGAGAAAGGCTTAAAGTAATTGGCATGTCTAAATGGGTTTTGCTGAAGTAATAGGAAGAAAAACATCAAACAGAAGTACCTCTTTACTGGATAATTAGGATGTAAAGTTATTTATAAGTCCTCTCTTCTTTCGAGAGAAATGCTTAAACATAATTAGCATTCATACATAGGTATTGCTGAAGTAACAGGAAGAAAAACATCAAACAGAAAGAGTGCAAGTCCTCCCAAAGGCCACATAAACAGTCAACAACCGGACATATAGAGATAAAAGCAAACGAAACAGCCATACAATGAATAGCTAAATGCACAACTGCAGAAACTGGTCAACAGAACACAAAGTAATACATTCCTATAGATGTCTAATTAATTTCAATTGAATTTTATATGACAGACCATCAAATATCTAGTATAAGGAATAAAAAATGTCATCATCAATATTTAGTAAAGAAAAACTATAGGATTGATAGCAAGTTCAGTCAAGCAGTTGCGATAGAGGAATGCCATGTTAAATGTAAATTGAAGAAGATATCAGACCACATGACCAAACTCAAGTGAAGCATTTGTTAAAGCTCATCATCTGATGAAATGGTGTCATTTGTAACCAATAAACAACATAGAAAAATATGAATACTAAAATTCATGTTACGAAGCTAAAACAAGCTAGCTAGTAAAACAATCTATATTTACTCTCAACCATAAACCAGATCATGTTAATCTTTTCAGTTCCCCCATGTTACCGATATGCAGAACGTCCATCAAATGATTAGGGGTGCCAGTGGACTGAAACCCATTCCAAATCCACCCCGCCCCATTTGTCTGTATTGCATATTTCCCAGTCCACTCCAAATCAACTAATCACTTGTAGAATCCAAGCCAACCCACCCCAACACAAAAGCTAATCCAAACCAAATGCAAAATAATAGGTTGAACCCATTCTGAGACCATTCCTAGAGAAAATGAAATCCATACTGTTGCCACAGACAAGGCAACCCGACATTCGGTGTCTCCCACCGTGCCCCAGCATGGCTGGTTTCGAGAAAGTGCCACCGCTGACAGAAGATGACATCACTCTGCACCATGTCTGCTGGCACCCACGCGACAGTGACGGCGAGGACAATAACTGAGACATGAAGCCGCTGAACAAATGGCGACAGACAGATTTAAAATTAAGGTGCTGAGTGCTGGACAACAAATCCTCAAGAAATCTTCAAGAAATCATGCATTCAATGTCCCCTTTTTTTTCCAATTTTTGAGATTTCAACCAAAGAATCTCATCTCTTTTACTCCCAGTTGGTTGCTCGATGTTGTTCTTTGCTCTGCTCACCTCATTCACTTCACTACCCTCAGGTCGATGTTCTAACAGTCGGCGCGACTGTGCCCAGGGTGGGTGGAGGCAGGACAGCGGTGGCACCTCCTGCAGCCCGTGCACGGAAGATGACTGGGGGGAGGGGAGGGACAGCGGCGCCTCCTACGCTCGGACACCCGGTGCGCAACCACTCGACCAGGATCCAAGGCAATGTACTGGTTGGGGTCCATGGGTTCAATCCATTTTAAAACCAAAAACACTTCAGCCAGATCCAATCCAATCCAAACCGCTTCACTTGTAGCCCCAAATCGATCCAGGCCAAATCTTAAATCAATCCAGTCGGACCCAACCAAAGCCAACCCGTTCTTAGATCCAACCCATTCAGCCCACTTAAATCCAGTCCATTAGCACCCCTATAAATGATAATGTAAAGGTGCTAGCTAGGCACCAGTACATGCAAACAATGATATACAATAGACATATGAAAACATTTTGAAACAAACATAATTCGTAGTCTAGCTAGTGACCACTTAAGATTTTGCATTTCATCAGCATACTACAAGCAGTGATATAAAGAAGTACCCACTGAGAAACGAAGGACAACCACCACACAAACAGGCATGTCAACATAAAAAAGAATTGTCATGCTGAGAGTATTGTACCTTCAGAACACCATGACGAACTGCCTGATTGCACAGGCAGGGAACAACATCAAAAAGAACGATCAGATATTAAATACATACTTTTGTATGGAAGCGAAGCAATCGCTTATTTGCAGTAAAATTAACCAGACAAGCTGTCCAAGATATCTAATGCAATAGTCCCTAAACATAATTTGAACTATCCTACTATCTTTCGCACTAATTCATCATGACAAGAACTTGCTACTTGAACTAAACAGTGCAGTCAGCGATAAAAATTGGGCAAACAATGAAAGATGATTGCACAGCACAAAGAGTCAAAGACAAAACAACTAAAGCAACTCAACTACAACAAATAGTAACAGCAAGGCACAACAAACTACCATGGAAACCATAAGCAAATCATCAGATCAGATCAGACAACATATATTCACCAACGAAAGTTTCAATTTTTTTTCCCATTTCAGATTGTTTTATTTAACTAACCATATTCATTCATTGGGCTGAGTTGGTGGTGGTCTGTTCACCCCATCCTCAATAACAAGCCCATACAACACACCGGCATGCTTCTCGGTCGATCCTTTGAAGTACACCTCCTTGATCTTGTTGTAGCACCCGAGGGTCAACAGCGAGTCAGAGCCGGCCTGGTGGCAGGTCCCCACACGCTTGACATCAAGAAGCTCACCGAGCCTGCTCAGGCCGCCGTGGAGGTTGCTGCAGAACCTCATGAGGTGCTTGATGTCGTAGAGCACCGGGAAGTAGATTCTGATGAGGTCAAAGAAGGCGGGCATGTTGTCCGGCAGGTTCCGGCCGGTGAGCAGCCTGAGCAGGTAACCGAAGTCGTACCCGCTGTGGAAGGTGATCCACTGCACGTCGGCGTTGAGCACGACGCCCGACGACATGAGCAGCTCGGCGAAGCGGATCGGGTCGGCCCCCTCAGCGGCGAACCGATCGAAGTCGATGCCGCAGGTGCGGAGCATCTGGATGGAGTCGGCGTTGGACGGGTCGGTCCGGGGGTCGAACCCGCGGAAGTTGAACTGCCAGATGCAGCGCCTGCCCCCCGTCCCCCGCCGCGGGAGGTCGCCGCCCTCGTCGGAGAGGGTGAGGCCGAGCTGGATGAGCTTGAGCATGTTGACGTTGGCCTCGAGGTTGGCGTAGTTGAACTCGTCGGTGGTGCGGAAGTTGCCGACGGGGCGGCACACGATGCCCGGGAACTCCGTGTCCATGGCGACGTACGGGTACCGGTCGACCTCGTCGCGGATCGCCGCGATCTCCGCCTCCAGGTTCCCCGCCCATACCTCCCGGATCTCCACGCCCTCGTCGGGGCTCTCTACGCAGGCTGCGGCGGCGGCGGCCATCGGCGCATCCAGCGACCTAGGGTTAGGGCTACTTGCGGCGTTGTAGGCGCTTGTCGGAGATGGGAAGCGGCGGGTGGTGTGGGGGGGGGGGGAAGGGGTGGGTCCCACGCGTCAGCGGCGGGCGGCGATGCGTGGGAGACCCCTTGCGAGGGAGGCGGAGGCGGAGGCGGAGGCGGAGGAGATCCAGGAATGGAGAGGGAGGAGGGGGATGAAGAAGGCGAGGGGAAAGCGGGGGGACGAGCCGGCGGAACCGGGTCGGGCCCACCCCTCAGACGTGTACGGGTGTTCGGCCATCGCTTTGTTTTTGCCCCATTTCGCGTATCTAAAGCTATTTGGGGTTAGACTTGTTTTTTTATTTTTTTTTCCTTCCCTCCCTCTTTTCTTTTAACACCTTATTCGGGGCTAGAGTTGATACAATTACAATGGCTTTGTTTAGTTCCACGCCAAAATTGAAAATTTGAAGAAATTGTAACGATGTGACGGAAAAGTTGAAAGTTTGTGTGTGTGGGAAAGTTCGACGTGACGAAAAAGTTGGAATCTAAACAGGGCCAATGTCAAAAAAAAAAAGAGTTGATACAATTACAATGGTAATATTAGGTTAGCATTTAGTAAGTAAGATTTAGAAAGTTGTTGTTGATGTTCTTAGGCGTTATTTATCTTTTACGGTTTTTTCGGATGCATATATTTTAAACTAGTTATATACTCGGGATTACTTCAGCACATCATCCAAGTGTTATCATTGGCTTATTTTAGTGCGAGGTCAATTAGAATCGAAAAGATGAAAACAGACCCCGAGCCTATAGAGGGATAAAGGAGAAAACGAGGGAAAAGTGAGTACTTAATAGTGCGGCGAGCCAGTAAAACCGGGTAAAGTTTCATCCTTGAAGCGTGTATGGATGCTCTTTCATACTAAGCACACCCCTTACTTATTCGCCCCCACCATTCAACCGTACATCCAACATTATTCATTAGTTTGAATTGGTACAATTGTGATGCTAGCATGCATTTTATTGGCATTGTGTGTGAAATTTAGAAATCTATTATATTAAACTTATTTTATCTTTACACCTTTTTCAGTATCTTTTTTCAACTTAGTAAGTATACTCAAAGTAACTTCATTGAATCATCCAACTATCTCTAGTTTCTATATCTAAGATATTTTTATGATCTTATTTGAGGTCACGCGAAAAATTGAAAAATAGAAAAATGATAAGAGCCTATAGAGGGGCAATGAAGAAGATGAGGGGGGAAAGTGCTAGATAGGGCAGTGAGCCAGTGGAACCAAGTTGAGCCTACCCTATAAATGTATACATATACTTTTTTTAAGCTAAACATAATGCCATATTACTATTACTTATTTGATCTTATTACTCGGTTACTCATTCAACCATATCCAACCCTATCCAGCGGTACGACTATCTTTTTTTTATTTGTTTTTCTTATGTTTTTCACATTCAACTTGTGAGTTGCTTATTGTTACTTCGTCACTCCATCATTCATTCAATGCCTATTTCTAGTGGGTTTTTCTCTCTCTATGGTTCTTTCACTTTGTGGTTGGTGACTTTGTGTAACGCCATTTAAAAGCTATTTAAATGTTTTTATTATTATGAATATTATTTCGCTGATTTGGTTGTTGAGTTTGCATGACTAGGTGTAAGTGGTTGTATGAGTATATTAGAGCGAGTGTGTTTTCACCATGAAGTATATCCAACTACCATCACATCTTCACAATTTTCTGCTTTGATGTCCCTCGATGAGACTTGAAGGGCTCGTTTGGTTTAATACACGATTTGGTATTGCTAAAATTTTGGTAACATGTGGTTATGGTTTGGTGTTAAAATACATAGCCAATAAGAAGCCCTACTGCCAAAAGGAGAAAATAACCATCTCACGATCTATAAATGAGAATTTGTATCACATCAAAGATCTAAAGATCTAGTTTCTTTTCTGGAGTGCTCATGCTCTGAGAGCACAAATATTTCTTCTTCAGACCGTTCTTAAACAGAAAAGTCGACTAAAATTGCCTTCTATTCCATCAAATTTTTACTCCCTTGATACCATGTCACTTGAAACAGTCTCTTCATTCGGTTGGTTAGGGGATAACACTGCAGGGAAAGATTAAAGCATACTTTTTTCCCACTGCAAATGTCTGGACATAATGTCGAAAGGAGACTTTGGCGTTGCTTGTGTTCACGGTGTTGCTCTACAGGCCAGGAGTCACCATGTGGTTAGGCAGGAACACGATGGCATGCGTTCACAATGCTGTGACCGACTGACTTTCGGGCTTAGGTTCCAATACTAATTCCCCACCTGAGTACCTGACTTTGACGATTCCATGCGTGCTGCAACTGGCTAGTTGTCATAGAAGAGTCCTGCGTTGCTCTCTCATGGCCACAGAAGGCTAGTTTTACGAATCGTTTGAGATCAGAATACGGTGAGGTAGTCCTCATGTGGGGATCTGAGTCGGTGTAACTGATTTCCTCTTCAGCAGCAAGTCGTCCATCAAACGAAGCAATGGCCAGCTGATTGTGTACAAGGATGACCTTCACCTCGGAGTGCCTGGGTTTTCTGTGGAAGCTCCGTAAAGACAAGAGAAACCTGGGTTAGCTGATATTACGAAAAATGTAGTCATGCCATGTCAGGTGAGGAGTAAGCAATGTAAGCAACCATTGTGCTGAAGCTGAAAACAATATCACTGTTCCACATGATTGCGCCACGAATAGAAACACCTTGCCCATTTATGGTCAGTCAAGCAACATAATCATCGTGTAAGTGATGTTCTCCTCATAGGAGCTTAACTGAAGATTCCAGCAATGCTGACTGGTTGTGGTTGATCAGACCTGGAAACTCTTATTAATCTGAGGCGACTTCCATAAAAATATATGTTGTTTAGCGTTCCAGATATTCCTTTAGATCTAGCATCAGCGAAGTATTCCAGCATATCTCAGAGGTGCCACGCCCAGAAAGCGTTGAAGTAGATGGTTCAGATGAAACACCATCCAGGGCCTCAGCTAAATCTGAATCCCAAAGCCCTGACCTGCAAACCTTCCTGTAGGCATCAAAGCCTGCAGCTTTCAGGCCTTCCGAAAAGAAATTATTCAGAGAGGGACTTTCCGAGTTTATTTCTCTTAGTAAATCTATTGCCGTATCAGAACTGTGGAATATCAAAGCTGAGCACGAGTTATCCAATAATCTGAGCTCAAAATCTTTTGAGAAGGCATGATGCAAGCTTGCAAGGCGAGATCTCAGTTCTTTGACAGATGTCTCCCTAAACCCCCATAGGAAAACAACATTATCAGTTCTCACTGATCTGGTGGTATTTGACTCATTACTGGATTTATCATCTTCAGATTCTTCAGCCGTACAACTCGGATACAATATGTAAGAATATTCCTCAACTGTGTGACACTTATCACCAGAGTGAGTTTGACCATTGGGACTGATTTTCAGTAAATTACTTAGTTTAGCAAACAACTTTGTTATTCTCAGAACATTTTCCCCACTTTTGGTGACACTGTTGTTACCATCTGCAAAAGAGAATAAAAAGTGAGAGTTCAGTAGCTTGAAGAATTTAAGATTTAGTCATCGATTTTGTACCCACACTTCATTTGGTTTCCCAAACACGATTGAAAAGGAAATGATCCATGGTTTATGAATAAACATGGCATGTCAATTATGCAGCTGAAACTATACCTTGCTGAGGTATTTCTACATCCATCGGCACAAAGTATTGTCTTTGTAGGTAACTCAGAGCACCTTGTATATTCTTCGCTTTTCTCAAAGGGCCAATTTCTCTCCACATGTGACTGATGTCAATAACATTAGAAAATACCATCCTCAAGGAGCACATGAATTCATGCAAGTTTGGTGGAAGAGGTGCAACAAATTTGGAGTGTATCATTGTGAAATCTGGGATAAGAGGGAGATGTTGAAATCAAGAGCAAAAAAGATTAACATGTCAGAAAATTGTGCAGGTTTGTTATGCATCAACCTACCATTCAAGAAATTATAAGATATAATTGGTTTCTGTGAAGATGATAGTAGATCAATAACTTCTCGAAAACCACGGAACTTCAAATTATGTTCATCCTCCATTTTTTTTATGTCCATCTGAAAATGATTTCCATAAGAACGGATCCTGAATACGTGACACCTTCCTTTTATTTTATACAAGCACATGCTGCCAATCTGAAGAGATACAAACCAGGAGAAGGTTCTTATCCTCTGGAGAACTAGTGAAGATCACACGCACTGCCCTAGCTGTCCCAGCTTTGTCCGGAACAACAAGAGGTACAAGGTCATCAGAGATATGATTTGCTGCCTGCAGCATAGCTCAAAACAATCAAATATTACACAGGTAAACAGGCTTATTATTTAACTTTACAGCTTACATAATCGTGATGTAACAGATGGAACAATCCATTTCGCTTGTTGCAATTTTATTTATTTATACTTTATATAAGGATCGGCTTATTGAAATTAAATGTTAAATCTAAAGCAAAGCATCTGTTACAAATCAGTGAATTCTTTTCATATATCAGTGCTCAAAACCAATACAATAGTAAAACAAAATACAGAAGATAAGTAGGCTCAACCTAAATTCATTTTTCTTCATGAAATCAGTGGATTTCTTTTCGTATATCAGTTCTCAAAATCAGTGAATTATTTTCATATATCAGTACTCAAAACCAATACAATAGTGAAACAAAATTCAGAACATAAGTAGGCTCAACCTAAATTCATCTTTTTTTCTTGATGAAATCTATGATTCTCTGAATAATTGATGAAATCATATTTGAAGAAAGAGAAAGCAAATGTAACTTGTAAAAACACACCTCCAAAACCAGTTGAACTTGGCGATCACTGCAAACATCAATGCTGAAACTGGGCCTTGAACCATACGATTCACTACCCAAAATCAGTTGCCTAAGGGTATTTACTAGAGAACCTGCCCAGTAAGAAGCGATGTCAGGACTGGCCAATAGACTAGAATTAGACTGAACATTTATCTATAATAACCTACCATCAGCTGTTTTACATGGTTTTGTATATCCTTTTCGCCAATGCTCTATTCTCGATTTAATTCTAGTCAGAAAAACGGAATCAGCAATGGATGTGCTTGGTGACGATGATAATTGGCGAACATGAGGGATAAATATCCTTTCCCTTGCCAAGGATTCTTGAGCCCTTGATAAATAAGATATACCTGGCATATGGCCACCAGAAAATTAGGCTGTCTATAAAAAATAATACAACTTGCTATTCATCACAGTACATGGTATAATACTCACCATCATAAATGCACATATTGAAATCAAAACCACTATGAGCCATAGATGATAAATAAGATGATTGACAGGAAAAACTGTAAGCAGGCATTCCCAACTGTAACTCATCTCTGGGAAATAAATGAAAATTGTACCTGTACATCCAAAATACAGACAAAAGCATCAGCAACAATCAGGGAATACAAAATACTATGGACTGAAGCAAGGGAGAGCACAACATGGTACTCTCAAGTGGACAAAAATTTTGAATTGATTGTCTAGAAATTTTTGTGAACTCCATACAAAACTGCATCTAACATTTATAGACAATAAAAATGGATAAATTGATTGGCCATGGTCATAAATGAACTTAACTGTTATGAACAAACTAGTAAAATATGCAAAACAGGGTGGTTTCAATTGTCATGCATAAATGAATGTCAATACAAGTACTGTTCTTTGAAAGTAGCACAAGCAGAAGATTTTAGTATGGTTAAATTGTTGTTCTAATAGAAACAGGTCGGAGTCAAGAGCTACTCCAGGAGATATAGAGATTTTCAAAGCAACTTTGTTGTCCTTAAATATGGTAATTTCTGTGCAATAGCACATACCATTTTTTTTAGCCAGGTTGGCCAAAGAAGCGACCAACCGATTGTATTAAGATTTGAAGAGGAAATGCAATAAAGTTAAGTTTACATTAACGCCAGCATATTTTCCTCAACAGAACACTGTCGATATCTGGAAGAAACAGGCTAGCTTCAGTTGGAGCTGGCAGACAAGTCGCCAAAACCACATCCACTAAAGACAACAGCTAATCAGCAGGTTCTTTGAACACTCCCGCTTCTCTCCACACCACAATCTCCTCTAAGACACCGCCAAACAGTTGCGATGGAGACTTCCTTCGATTCTCAAAAATTCTGGCATTCCTTTCCTTCCACACAAGCCAACTTAATATCAAACATAGAGAATCGAATGCTCTTCTTAATTGCTTCGCAAACCTTTGCCTCATCGCTAGCCACCAGTCCTCAAATGGTTGATCTATATCCCCAGGAAGTTGAAATAGGACGTCAACTGATTCAGTTCCTCAAATAGGACGTCAAGTTGAAACAGCACATATAATTTTGGTGGGTTGCTTGCTAGTTTATATGGTATATTTCATTTGACTGTCAACTGATTCAGTTCATTGAATGACAGAGGATATCAGTACAGCCAAAGGCTTTCAGTTATTACCTGATTACCTGGTCCATACTTAAGCACTGAAGCTGATTTATTCTATCATTTATCCCATTTGTGTGATAATACAATTGGACCTGCCTTGCTCTACATTAACTGTGGAAAAGTTCAAACACTATGCTAAAGGACCCCCATCTTCGATTTCCATAGATTATGCGTCTGTTTGGTTTGTAGCCAAACTCAACCAAACCAAAAAATCATTGACGGTGACAGAATATTAGTCATCTTTATGGTTTGTAGCCAAAAATTGGCATTGCCAAATTATTGGCATATGCTTAGTTGGATGGCAAGTACAACTTTGGTAATTGGCACCAAACCAAACAAAGACCTAGCCAATTTTACTAAAAAAGTTGGCAATTACCAATTCTTGTCACTGGCAAAAAAATTTTGTAAGGCTAGAAATGGCAATGAGCCAACAAACCATATGTCATTTTTTTCCTGGATTAACACCTTGCTTGTCCTTATAACAGGCTATTTATTTCAAATACATCATTTAATTTCCTCACAACATGGATAAGTGGACACTTCTATCTTTATTTGTACCACCTCTCTACTGAATTACATAATATATATCGTTGGCTGTCCACAGCCTCTAGCATTATTTTATCCTGACAATTCAACTAAACATCTAGCGTGAAGAATCGAACCCAGGACGATAGAGTAGTCTTCCTTTACATCCTGGGATGAGCCTTCATGCTCATGTTTTTTTCATCACTGGCCCAGCATAAAAACTGCAAAGAAAATTAACTAGTCATGTGATAAGCTTGCCTACGAGGCTACGATTCGTTTCCCCTGGTTTCACTACTTAAACTAGTTCCAGATGTAACGTGGAGATACAACTTTCAATAACTCCTCGCCAAACTAGGAAAAATGTTGACAACACAGGTAGTTTCTCATCTGTATGGCATTCTGATGCACTCTGCAAGGCAAGAGTCAGATGCATTTCATATTGCTCGAAGACGCCGCTGACATTTTGATCGCAAGCAAGTTGCAAACAGAAATCGCGCAAGACGTTCGACAAAATGCATTGTCGAAAATCCTAGCTGCCATAGTAATCCTTATGCAGGATGGAGAGAGGGAGAGAGAGCTGCTTACGGATAGGCGACGAGGGTCGAAGGGGATGTGGCATCAACGCGGAAGGGGCAGATGGCGAAGTGGAGCGGCTGGAAGGACTCCGCGGCGAGCTTAGCCTTCAGGTACGCCGTCTCCGGGGTGTCCACCGGCAGCGCGCGCCGCCAGCCCGTCGGGGCGCCCGTCCTCTGCGCCGCGATGGCCACGTAGTCGCACGCCTCCACGTGGGCCGCCAGATCCTGCACGGCCTCCGCGAAGTTCCGCTTCGTCACCTGCCTCGCCGCCGACGCCGTCGCGGCGCGCGTGGCCGCCGCCATATCCGGGCCTGCGCGGGCTGAGTTGCCTGAACCGCGCACGACGAGAGCTGCGTGGCCTCTCTATCCCAGCCGGCGGTAGCGGAAGGAACGAGGCGGGATTCTGATGGACGCAGCTGAGGAGAGGCGGAGGAGGTGGTGGTGGTGGCGGCGGCGGCGGCGGCGCGAGGTGCCGGTGAGCAGCGCGGCGGCGCTGCGAATCACCGAACGAGAATTTAGGGGTCGGGTGGTGGGGGAAGTTGGGCTGGGCTCTGTGCGTAATGGGCTGCAAAATGGGCTGTAGATGGAGATCCGCAGACGTTCTACACAGCCGAATTCAATTTTCGCAGAATTCGGAATAAAATTCCATATTTCAAAGGACGAGTAAGTTTGGTGGTGTTTGTTCAGGCGAGAATCCTTTTGCTGCTAGGGAACAATAGTGGGATACGTTTTTCTATGCAAGGTTTACAAATGCGATGTACTTCCTCGGTTTCATAATAAGTGCATTTCTAGCTTCTTTCATTTGTGTCAAAGTAAGTTCATGTTTAGAATAATCATTGCATCGAAATTTGTGAAAATATGGGATATTTGTATTTGGAGAAGATAAAATGAGAAATAGTTACATTGGGATTTGATAAATTAGGGGTATTCTAGTCATTTTGTATGTGCAAGATTAGTGAAAATAAACTTATTTTGAGACGGATATAGTAACTCCTCAAATATTTATTAGGTTGATGTAGTGGAGGTATGAATCTAGAAACCGTTTGGCAAACCACCAAACCAGTCAAGTACTCAAGTTTTGAAAAATCTCAAGTGAAAATCAAACTTCATCGTCAAATTTAGTCTGAAACTCTGAATTCAACCGTTTTCCTTGGTAACTGAGCAGTAATCACGGTTCACGGTTATCGAAAATACCGCTCACAAAGTGTTCATGAGAGTGATCGGTGAAAAAACAGTTATGTAAGGATCCAGGTCCTCTACAATTAAACTACTAATGTAGGGTATGATATTCAGCGATAGAACGGTTCTATAAGAGCGAGTACAATAATTGACGATAGGAGCACCACGTAGGATTTTTCACTGATGTGGAGAAGAGATAGTTGAAGAGAGAGAATGAGCGGGGACTAATTAGTCGCTCGGCTCCACGTGCAACCCGAGGTTGTGGGCCCGCTCGCCACAACGATGGCGCCCCTGCGCTAGCCACATGCCTTCGTCTTCCCTCGTCGCCACGGTCGTCACCTGCGTCCAGCGCCCACCTCGCCCCCCGTCGGCCACGTCTGCCTCAGCTACTGCGGATGTCACTGCTTGCGTCCGCCTCGGCCATGGCCGTCACGTCGTAGACATCACCCTTGTCCGGTGCAGCAACTTCCCTCGTCCACCTTGGCTGCAGCCGTCACCACCGCTCTCATTCCGCCCGACCGACACCATATCATGCATCCGTCGTACAACACGACCATCGTCGTCTCTCGCGTTATCCGCACGGTTGGCGGCGCCTTCCACGTCCGCCGCACGGTCACAGTCGTCTGGATCAACCGTCACCGCCTTCCAGTTCGGCCACCCCCATCTTCTGCGTCTATCGCACGACCGTCGCCATCTGGCTCGGCCGCCTTTGTCTTCCATGCCCGCCGCACAACCGTCGCTGTCTCCCGCGTCTGCCGCACGACCGCCACCCCCGTCCTGCTCATCTCCCGTGTTATCCGCACACCGACCGCCATATCTCGCGTCCGCCGCATGGGCGCCCTCATCATGCCCGGCTGCCGGCATCACCCACATCCGCTGCACGGCTGCCGCCATCTTCCTCATCGTCGCACGGCTGCTGCCATCTCCTGCATCCACACCGCCGTAGCGCCACTGAACATCATCTGGACTTACTGGAGAACAATACGACATGAAAGGAAGGGGATGAGATGGAGAAAGAGAATGAGATATATGAAGATATGGGTCCCACTAATATAATAAAATATTTATGCTACAGTGCTTCTATAATACACATTAGCGCTACACTGTGTACACATGGCTATTTTTTGGAGCTGGCAATAGACTATATTATTAACTTTGCTCTAAGTATCCAGGTCCTTTGCAGTTAAACTACCAAGGCAGGAGCTGGTGCCACGGTGTTTTGCAGTAGGATGAAAAAACGGTAGGATATCGTTTTCGTTAAAAACAATATCGTTGTCAATTATTTCCGACTATAAAATTTAGATTTTCTACTTTCTATTTGTGTCATATTAAAATTAGCACCAAATAGTTAAATTTTATGTATATAGAAAATTCCTGATTGCACCAAAATCATCTCCGTAGAAATACTCTATCGTCTCCAACCGTTTTCATACCCTATCATGGATAAATATCCTGCGAAACACCTGTAGCCCTCGGAGCAAATACTCATGTGGCCTTCGGAGCAAAAATACTCGTCTGATTCTGTAGTACTTCTAGTAAATTAAGGGACTGTTTGGTTCCCAGCCACACTTTACCATTACTTGCCAACAAAAATTACCACACTTTGCCTAAGGTGAGGTGGTCAAATTGTTAGCCACAACTTACTAAGCCTAAGAGAATCTTGCCACACTTTTTTGAGCCATTGACACGTGGGACCCAATTTGTTGGAGGGGAATCTTGCCACAACTGTGGCTACAAACAAACACCTGTCAAATTTGCCTAACCTTAGGCGTGGCAAACTGTGGCAAAGTGTGGCTTGCAACCAAACACACCCTAAGTACAATCACGCTGAACTCACAATAGTCTTTGCAGATATCCACAATTCATCACAAAACGGACACATTAAACACTAATCCAGAAAACGAACAGGTTCACAGCTTGGGGGATTCCCCGAGGCCGACGAGTTGAACAGAATTCACCAACTAGCCTTTGAACTGAAGCAATAATAATGTACACGATCATGGTGGCATCAAGCTCTGGAGTCTGGACGGCATGGCAGCTGGCACGACCACCTACCTACCTGCCGAAGAGGGACTTGATCCACCACACCCCGCGGTCGCCGGCGCTCTGCTCGGTCTCCGGCGGCGGGTCCGGGTGCGCCGTCTTCTTCAGCTTGCTCACGTCGTACCCCTCCTCCTTGGCCCTCTCCACCAGCTGGCCGTACACCTCCTCGTCCATGTGCGGCTGCCTGCACAAGATCTGCACAACACACACCCAGCGATGCAGATGAGAGATTGAATGGTTGATCTAAATACTTGAATTGGGTATGAATCGGTGGATGGATGGATGCGTACCCAGAGGTAGTTGAGGGAGGGCTGGCCGACGAGCGCGTAGGAGTAGGCGTCGTCGACGTGGAGCACCCAGTAGTCGCCGACGACGGGGAAGATGGGGAGGAACGGGGGCACGTAGAACTTGACCTTGAGCTTGGCCTCGTCGCTGACCGGGTCGGCGCGGTAGGCGGTGCCCTCGATGTGGCCGCGGCGGCCGTCGGTCCACGTCTCGTTGAGCACCTTCACGGCGCCGTCGCCGGCGAGCGTGTAGGTGGCGCGCGTGTTGGTGCCGTCCCTGGGCTGGAACCGCGACGGGAAGCACGCGATCTCGTACCACCGCCCCATGTACCGCTCCAGGTCGAGGTTCCGCACCACCTTCATCGTCGTCTTCGTCGGCGGCGGCGGCGGCGGCGGTGGCGAGGTGGTGGCGTGGGGTGATGGGTTTAGGCGAGGCAACGGGGAGGGTATGGAACTATGGATAGAGATGAGAATCGAGAAGGGAAATAAAGGGCGGTGCGGGAGACGTGGAGGAATGTGGGCGATACGTTAGGAAGGAAGGGCTTCGTGTTTCGGTGGGCGTTTCAATTCGGGGGGTTCTCGGGCCCGGATCGCAGGCGAATTTGCCGGTTGCGGACGCAAAGTCGCGGGGTGTGCCGCGGAGCAAACGTCTTCGTCGTGACGGGGTGGCGAGAAGTTGGTGGTGGTCCTCACTCATGTCCAGAAACCATCCAACGGGGAAGGAATCATTCTACGGTTCACTTCAGCCTCACCAATCCAAGTAGGAGATTCCACGCCATCTCAGCATCTGCTGTGACCAACAGAGGAACAGGGAGGCAAACTTTGCCACCAGTTCCTCGCAGAAGTGGGCTTACACCCCCTCCGTGCCACTTGTGAACAGAGAGGGGGAAGGGAGACGGAGGAAAGAGAGAAGGCACCGCGCCGCCACGTGAGCTCGGGGAGCTTGTCGACCGCATCACCGGGGACGTCCTCGACCGCCGCCGCTGCGTGCCCTTGCCGGGGACCTCGCTGGCCTACCCCTGTGCCCCACCAGTCGCGTCGCTGGGGGCTCCTCCACCGCCGCTGGATGAGGAAGCCGGAGGGGGAGATGAAGGGGCGGAGAGGCAAGCGCCAGAGGGGAGAGGCGGCCGCAGGGACCCGCGGGGAGAGGGCCGTTCCGCTAGATCCGTCCCGGGTTGCCCGGCCGCCCGAGCAGCGACAGTCGCCCGGTGCTGTTGCCGCTCAGGCCGTCGGCGCCCGCCGCCTTCGCTGCTCCGCCCGGCTCCGCAAGGACGACCGCGCCGCCGATCTTGCTCCTGCCATTGAGAAGGACGCTCCGAACCCGTGGGGAAAGGCAGAGAGAAAGAGAGGAGAGAGAACGGGTAGAACCCACTGGGAAGGAAAAAAATAGGTCACATGCATTGTGGAGGATGGTTCTTACGAAGTTATTAGTTTTAGGTGGCAGTTTTGGCTCCTCAAAAACCTAGGACGCACTGTGAGTGCCCTATGAAGTTCATGAAAGCAGTTACAGTAGGGTGATTCAGCGGGCTCCAAAATATGCTATATCATCATATTCCTGTATGGAAGGGAGAGAAACAAGGAGAGAGAAGAAAGCGAGTGACTAATCTACCACCCAGCGATAGCACGGTTTACCACGCTAGCTGCGATAGAAAACACAATTTATGGGGCCCACACCAACCTCATCCGATCCCATGCTCCCGCCCCGTTCTGCTTTCCCCTCCCCCTCCAGTGTTAGTTCCATGCCCGCCGCATGCGGGGTCGACACATGCCGTTGCAAGGATTTTCTCTTTTGCCCACGAGAAAACCTCGCCGCCCTCACAGATCAATGCCTCCGTCCCCAAGATTCTCGTATTCCTTCTTCGCTGTCCCAAAAATTTCATTCCCCGTGCTAGATTGAATGGTCGCAACCCCTATAATCTCACGATCCTCTTCCACGTTGGCCAGTCTCTCTCGCTCACGTGCGCGAAATTTCCATCCAAAACTGCCAACGATCTCATCGGGAGGCAAACGATGAACACAGCTACCGTGAATCCATAATCAATAAGAGCTCGTTGGCTTTCCTGCAAAAAAAAATAAAAAAATAAAAGTAGAGCTCGTCGGCTTTCAAGATGTGCACCGCGGCGTGAGTGCATTCACGGATGGCGACACCTTGGCCCCTCGAAGGTAGACTTCGGGTGAGGTAGAATCGAGGCCATGATGTCGCTGTCGTGGAGGCTGTTTCGCAATGGTGCAGCATGGATATATGTGCTTCTTCTTGTTGTACGGCATCATCGCGGTACCGCGCAAGCACCACCTTGCTTCAGAGATAAAATACGAGCCAAAATTGATCATACACATTGATACAATATGTGGACTATCTGTTATTTGGTGATTTCTTTCTAAGCAGTTAGCTCACATCATAACACAACTAGCTACATGCATGGATATAGCCACTTTTGATTGTCAACACTTGATATCTGAATGCAGATTTAATTGTTTGATTGATAAGGTATATCAACACAACAGCCAACCTAGTGTACTAGCTAGTGCTAGTATTAACTCTAAGATGACATGGGAGATATTGGAGCTAACAACCGGATGCACTATTGACCTTGCTCTGACTCATCACTGAATGAACAATGTTTTTGGAGTTTACTTGGGCGACATTTGTAAGGATAGTGTAATTTAGTTGTAAAAGGAGGAGGATGCATTGTCCCGTTGCTAAAAAAAAATTGGACCGGTCTATTGATTGAATCACAAGAAACCATAATCAACATTCTCATCAGATCGGTTTTCTTTAAGAACCATCCATCCGGTATGAACTGGGTGGGTGGATCGAACAACTTTTTTTAAAAAAAAAAGGCAACCCTGGTTGGCCAAATGCAACCATGTCGCCTACACCACTAGGCTAACTTGAGCTCCTTGTTTAGGTAAGACTATGCATAATAAATGATGTTTCTGGTGCAACATCAGACCAATCAACCCAACGGTGCAGCATTCATCATAATTATCTCAAATGCAATTGGCGGCCGACACGCGTATCAACGATCATCTCGATGCAATTAGTTGACAGCTCAAACACTCATTGCATCGAAACAACATATGTCTAGCGGTTATTCTCAGCTTATAATTAGTGCTGGACTTCTCGTGAAAGCTCAAGGATACAAACATAGTTGAATTGTAAATACAACTAGCATGTAACAACATTTAGATTTTAACATGAAGTTATTCTGCTATTAGCATATGGTTCTGTTGAATAAATGAATCATGTGCATTGGTTTCCTTGTGCCACAACTTTTATGTGTTAATATTTCTTTTCTTCTGAGCATGACACTCTTGTTAATAATGATTATAATGATGTTTCTGGTGTCCTAATCCTAATAGAGACGGGTATATTGCTTTAGCACCAACAAAGGATAATAGTGAAATGATTTTTTTCGCTTTCACCCATTAACTAACAATCCGTTGATTAGTTATATGTAAATTAATCTATATCCATTGATTTAGAATGGAAGGATTAGATTGACATAATATCACACTAAAACGTCCCTATAAAATATCAAACAATACGATTCCAAGAATGATCTAGTGAGGAAGATATTCATTGCCTCTTCAATTCCTCCGTCTCACCATTTTCCGCGGTGCTCTCTCTCTCTTATTGGTGAGACATCATATATTATATTTTCTTCGGCGTTTTTGTGACTTGTGTCACCCTTTTCCTCCACCTTCTAATTTGTTAGTCTCCTCACCCACCGTTGGCCCTCCTCACCCATAGCTCCAGTGCCACCACCGCCCTGTCGCTACTGTGCATGTCCTCCAAGCTATCCCTATAAAATAAAACACTGTCTCTAACTCTTATAACCACCTTCTCGACTTTAGAATCTAACTAGCTAGCATTGTCGTCGGAGAAGAAAAAGGGCATGATCTCCAAGTCTCGGTGAAAATTAAATGAAAACAGAAGAAATGAGAATTCTTTTAAAGGAAAAAAAACAATGAGAATTTTAGGTGACTGAAATCTAGCCAACCCCAGATCCCCTTCTCCCTTTACAAAGTAGATTAAAAAAGGGCCACCTATACATTTGTCGACAAATTTTCTTCTAAAAATTTGACAGATATAATTATAGTACAATCGTAATGTAATTACACTGTAACTTGTATGTAACTATAGTGTAACTTGTATGTAAGTTTCACGTAATTTTGAATCGTTAGATCTATTACAAGATTTATTCTGGTGAGGAAGAAAAAAATCACAGCACACACATATGTGAAAGAATTTGTTCCACGACCTCCATTTTATCGAAATAATATGTTACAGAGAGATTTTTGAAAGTTGCATACAACTTACATTATAGTTACAGTATAATTACACTACGACATCTGTCAAATTTGTGGGAGAAAATTTATCGATAAATATATAGCAAAACTGGAAAAAAAAAGAGTTTACGGCAGTCCACTTCGGAGATTGTTGGCGCACGAGCGCGCGGCTCGGGCGCTCGGCGGCCGAATTCGGCACCTCTCGGCCCAGTTCGCCAGTTCGGCACCCGAATTGCTCTCTGCTCGTCCATCGTCGTCGTCTTCGTCCAACGCTCCAACTAACCACCCCTCCCGTTTCGTCCTCCCCTCTGCGTTGCGTCCTACTTACTCTCTCCGATTCTCTCCCCTCCTTCCCCGATAGGGGAGAGATCCAGCAGCGGCAGCAGCCAAGCCCAAGCTCTCCCACCGAGATCCCCCGCGCGCCGCGCCCCGTCGGCCGCCGCCGCCATGGAGGCGTCTTCCTGGGACGCCCTCCGCAAGCAGGTGAGCCGTCAACTCCCCTCCCCCCACCCCCGCCTCTCTCTCTCTCTCCACAGTCTCGGCTCTCGTCGACCTGACCTCCCCACCCGTGGCTCGCTGGCTCCGATTGCCCGCTCGCTGAAGCTCGAGATCTGGCTGGTCGTCGGAGTTGCGTGTTACATTTGGGCTTTTGCGCGGGGGGGGGGGGGGGGGGGGGTGGGTGTTGGTTGGCCTCGGAGTTGTACTTTTTCTAGTTTATCTGCGAATTCGACCGGTGCGGGGGCGCGAATTTCCCGCTGAAGAGAGGGTTGTACTTGTATACCATGGGAATTTGTTCCTTCCTGTGGAGGCTTGAGCAGGAGGCGTGATCTAGATGGTGTCGGAGCGAAAACATTGCTGCAATTCATACAAAGCTCCATGTTGAGGTGCACTTGTGGCATGTATTTTCACTATCTGTCTAGTGCTGCGAAGTGCATTGCGCAACTAGTTGCTGTAGCTTATGAGGCTGTGGCATCCTTTTGTAGTTTCTAATTACTGTGTGGGGGGTATCATTGGTGTGTGATACTGTGATGCAATCGAAATTCAAAACGGCTAAGTTTAGACTGCACATAGAGCCAATGGAGTTTTGGATGACTTGGCTGTTGGGTGTTGGCACTTGTTGACATGGATGATGCATGCGGGATGAGCGTCATTTCGGTGTTCTGACTTTACACTGGATGTTTCTGCACAAAGTAAACGAGTGACGGCCCAATACAAGCCTGTGTTAGGAAAGAATTCATACCGCATTACCAAACCCTTCTTTTTTTTCGCATATAGTTGCCATGAATCACGCTCGAAAATGGAAAAAGAAAGGTAAACCCGTGATACTGACTGTGTAACTGAAAACAGAATGAAACGGATCTGTCAGATCTACGAATTGGAGCAGTTATCTTGGGACATTGGCACTGCTAGCTTTGTTTCTTATTATTAAATCTCTCCATGACATTCTCCGTTCCATCCACTTTAAGAGGAAAAAAAATCATCTGATGCATTCCCTTGCTTAGTTCAATTTCATTTGCTGAAAATATTGGATTTTGGTTTAATGTGTTAAAAAGATTCGTTGACGTTTTTTTGCATTACTTGTTTACTTTAAGTAATTGTGCCTTTTGTTTCATTGAAGGCAAGGAGGCTAGAAGCTCAGTTAGATGACCAAATGAGTGCTTACCGTAAATTGATTTCCATGAAATCTGATGGTTCTGAGAATGATATCGAGTCCGATATAGAAAGATCGCTGAAGCAACTTCAGCAAGTAAATTCTCAAATGCAGACATGGGTATCATCAGGAGGCTCAGAAGTCCTTTCTCATACATTGACTCGTCATATGGAGATATTGCAAGACCTTACACAGGTTACAGTTGTTTCCTCCACCTCTTTTCAGTTCCTAGCAATTGTGATTAGCTCCGTTTCAATAAGCTTCAGGCAAGCTTCTTGCAAATTACCTTCTTCATGAGGATTATTTTACTTAATCTTAAAAAGCACTGCAGGTTTTTCTGATGCTCAGTGGAGCAAAACTTTACGAATACATGATAACGATACTTTCAGATTCATAATGTTGCTACAATTGAATGCAGGAATTCTATCGCCTCCGATCAAGCCTTAGAGCAAAGCAACAACATGCTTCTCTTCTTGACTTGAGAGATTTTGACAGAGCGAAGTTTGATGTTGAAGAGGGTGCTGACTCTGATCAAGCTCTGCTCAAAGAACAAGCTGCGATCAGCAGGAGTACTGGGCAGGTATGGCTGGTTTACTCTAGCACTACCCGCACCTTATGGCCTTGTTCTATTGTTTTAGTGCCTTTTCTTTACAACACTCCTGAATCCTGATCAAGTAATCAGTATTTTTTCCAAATGAGTACCAGGTAAACTTCAACTAGACATTGCATTTATGATAATATTGACCTATAACAGGGTAACCTAACCTTGAAGGCAATGAAATAAAACCAAAATGATGGATTAATAAAAATATACGTGAAATGATTATTTGGTCTAAAAAAATGTTTCCACTTTCAAGACTGCGATCTTAAAGCTGCTAAAAGGTTGGAAAAGAATGTAAATTGCTTAAATTAGTATTTTAATCCATCGCACTACTACACCGGCACAGGGATAATTTGGGACTTGGAAGTTCAGTTGAACCTCTTTTTTTTCCCTTTTTGCACCACTGCTTGATGATTGCATTCATATTATGTTTTGCACACTTCCCCCAGAATAGCACCCACCTGGGGTCTCGAAGATTATGGCATAGTATATGGGAAGTGCATGGAACATAAATCCTTTTTGGGGCCTGCAAATTCCTTGTCACCACATTTCCATTTGTCATTTGACATTTTTTTTGGTCATATCCTTCGATCTCAACACTTAACATGGTATTTCCTAGACATTCTGCACTCAACTATCTTAGGGTTGCATGTCGATACTTCTATGTAAGTTTCTTTTCATGCAGGCGTATGTGGGAAAAGTTCTATTAATGGTTCAGGATTTAGTTTCTGTTCCTGTTTATATATTCTCAACTAGACTATTCTAAATTGAAACTGTAAACATTGAAATGGTGTTACAGATGGATACCGTGATATCACAAGCTCAAGCTACATTAGGCACACTTATGTTGCAACGATCAACATTTGGTGGTATTACTACGAAGATAAGCAACGTTAGCAGTCGGCTCCCTACGGTATACCTTGATACCCTTTTTAGTTGTTAACAAACAACCCATTCTAACATTTTATGTACATCTGAATCTAACATCTTGTATACCCTTTTGACAGATTAATCAAATTCTTTCATCCATCAAAAGAAAGAAATCGATGGACACCATTATTCTATCCCTGGTTGCATCTGTTTGTGCATTTCTTATTTTTATCTATTGGATGTCAAAGTAATCTTGCCAAATAAAGGCGTTATAGTGTTGTATGTTTGGAAAAGTAGTAGTATACATGCTTGCCGTGTTTGTACAATATCGCCCCATGTTATATCTTACCTGCTGTTCTAGCTACATTAACTATCATTCTGATTGAGCTACTTCAACCCCATCTGTACATGTGAGCCGTGACGAAGAAAAATAAGTTTCTGGTATTGATTTAAGTATCCCCCTCTTCCATATCAAGGTTTATTAAATTGAATCCAGACTGTATAAGGGCCTATTCGTTTTGGAGGAAAACCAAAGGATTCAGATTCCTATGGATCATTTCCTACGAGTATCAGTCGGTTCATAGGAACAGGAAAACCAAATAAATTTTCCTTTTCTATAAGTTGTAGAGAGAACATAGGAAATTTTTCATCCACTCAAACCTCTTGGAAAATTCTTATGGATTGAAGTGTGCATTTATTCCTATTCCTCCACTTTTCCTATTTTTGTGTGTTAAAATTTCTCCAAAACGAATAGACCCTGAAAGGTTGATTGCTTGATGGTGGGTTTCGTTGTCCGAAAGAGTCTGGAACTTTGGATGGTTCAGTACTTCAGTTCAGTTCCAACTACTCAACCAGGAGTACATTTTGGGGTATACCTAGCTACCAAGAACTGACATTATCAGCGATCCAAGCATCACATAGTACTGTTTGGACAAATTTTGTGCTTTTAGGAAGTTTTTGGACAAATTTTGTGTTTTTTCTTCTTAAAAGTGACAAAACATGAGCAATTGCTTAACGGTGACGATCTGGAAATATTACTTATTAACAATGAAAAGGAATCCAGGCATAATGTTTAATGGGCCTAACATGAACTGTCACAGTATACCATATTCAAGATGAGAAGCACAGTAGAGTATAAACCATTTGATAAACTAGTGAACCAATTCGTCCTGAACTGGGAGTGTACAACTACAACCTTCGTGTATCTAGCACAACAATAATAACAACAAATACTTGTGGCATTGGGAACATTTGGTGCCAAAATGATCACTGGTTGTAATTGTTGCAAAGCAAGATCAACTAATGTTGTCTCATAAGTGTCTAGAAGATATCGCCTACTTTTTTATGAAGCACTCCACATTCTTAAACCACCGGACCAGTTCTGTCTGCTCCTTGTTTTCCATGTATGAGTGCAGGAATGCGGCAAGCTCATCGTTCACCCCTCGATGCTCCAAGTAATCATGTACCGTGCTTTGCATCTCGTCATCCAACTCACTGTTATTTGGAACATCTAGGTTAGTAAGCAATGTCCAGTTCAAGATAGCAAGAGTTCAAGAGAGAAGATTTGCCCACTGTAACAATAGTTTAAACCCAGTACTCCTGTTTGAACAAACCAAAATATGATGTACCTAGGGTAGCAAACAAGAACCTTAGGAATGCAAGATCCTTAGTCTATATAGTACATGTGGTTTGCAATAAAAAGAAAAGGTTTCGCAAAAATAAAAATAGACGCCACTCTTTTTTTTTAGAAAAAATAAAAATAGATCGCCACCTCTTTCCAGACACTATGATGCATACTTAGTATTTTGGTGAATGGTGATTCCTTTTTTGATCAATTCGTTTTTTGATTCTTAAGTCATAAGACACTATGATGCATACATAGTCTCTTCTTTTCGTGATTCCCTTTTTTATCCAATTATTTTCTTGTAGCAAGTTGTAACTGCAATCTAGGAGCACACAACACAATGAAATTTGGCCAAATTTCACTAAATGCTTAAAAATCGAAATGTCATGTATAAATTCTCTCTCCCCAACATCAAGCATTCAATCTACCCTAAAAAAACATCAAGCATTCAATCTATTCTGTTGTTACTTCGCCACTAAAGTAGTCCAATCATAATTCATCAAGCGCGAAGATTATCAACAAATCAAGGAGCAGACGCAAAACAGCATGACCGTGCAGATTTCCATGTTTCTTTTCAAGCAAATTTCAGAATGCCGGATCACCTGAACTGGCGGCCCATGTACTGCTGCGCCGCCGCCGGCCCGCCGCGGCGGACGGGGTAGACCCTCTCCACCTCCATTTCATCGGGCCACGCCGAGCACTCGAAGGTGAGCGCCAGGTCACGCCGCGCGGCCTTGGTGACCTCGACGTTGACGCTGATGTGCATCCTGAGCTGCGGGCCGGCGGCGTCGTCGGGCCCCGCACCCGCGACCTCCCCGGAGCGTGTGGGCGCCGTGGCGCCGTCCACCATGGTGGCGTCCACCCTGACCTCCTCCTTCTCATCATCATCATCACCACCGAACGCGCGGCGCAGCCGGATCCACTGCTCGCCCGGGCGGTCGTCGACGGCGAAGGGCGCCGCGGAGGGCGGGGGCGAGGGCGCGCGGCGGGAGGAGATCTCGGAGCGGAGGGAGCGGAGGAGGCGGTCGGAGAAGGCGGAGCGGCGCATGTCGGAGATGTACGGGCGCGAGGGGAGGAGGCGGGGGGCGAGGCGCTGGGACAAGCCGGCGGCGTGGGCGCGGAGGCGGAGCAGCCGCCGTGCCATGGCGGCGATGGCGGCGAGCCGGCGATGCTTGGGGAAGGGGGTTTTGGGGCGGCTTTACGGTGCGAGCCGGACACCGTGGGTAGACGGGTTCGTTTTTCTCTGGGTTGCGGCAGTTTGAGGGCTTTAGGCCGGGCAAGGCTTGAAAGGAATGGGCCCAGTTATTTTGCAGGGGAAAAAGTACACCAAAGGACCCTCAACTTGTCATCGAGTTACAAAATCATCTCATAACCGCAAAACCAGATACATGACATCTCTCAACTTTAGGTCCTTCGGTGGTTTTGACCCCGATTTGTCTGACGTGGCGGTTTGAGTCAGCGTGGGACCCACATGGGCCCCACATATCAACGTGGACACGTCAGTCTGCTCTCTCTTTCCCCTCTTATCTCCCTTCCTTCTCTCTCTCACTTCTTTGCGAGGCCGGCAGTGCGAAGTGGGAGAGGAGGAGGGCGTCGGCGGCCGGCGACGAGCGACGCGACGGCGATGATGGCAGCGACGCTGGCGTCGCGTGAGATGGTCAGGTGCACTGCAAGGAGGGAGGGGACGAGGCCCATGAGACGGCGGAGGATGAGAAGCAGGCGAGCGCGACTATGGGACTATGGCAAGTATATGGGGACCTAGATGCAGTTCTGCAAGTCTATGGGACTATGGTAACTCACGGACTATAACTTACTATCCACAAAGTGTGTAGTAAGGAATAAAATACTACTACTACTAAGTTATATACATTGTAGAAGTGGTAACTAACAAATACCAGGTAATATGTTTACTATCTAGTCATAAGGAATAAACAAATAATTTCTCTCATCCTTCTCTCATGGCTAGTGAGTGCGGGGTCCAGCTTACTACACACTTTTATTCATTCACCATTGTGACTACAACAACAACTAATACTATCTCCATCCCAGAATACTTGTCGCTTTAAGTTTTTTTTTTTAACTTTTGATATTTCATCTTATTCAAAAAATTATAGGATTATTATTTATTTTTTTGATTTGCTTTATTATCAAAATTACTATTAACACAGCGCCCACCCTTAGGTAGTAAACATTGGTGAATCATATCCCTCATTCCATGCGTGCTCCGGCTTGCTCTGCACAAGCTGCTGCACTCGTGAGTCGTGACAGATCTGCGCTGCCCTCTGTGCGAGCTGTAACGCCTATATACCTCGGAAATTGGAAAAACACAACGCCTGACCTCACTCTCTGTATTCGCCGGTAGATATAGTGCGTCGACAGTGCCCCTAGCGTGGCTGCGCGGGCAGGGCGCGCGGCAGCGCACACGACACTGGAACAGTGGAACGGCAAGAGAAAAGCCCCGACGCAAACAACCAATGGCGCGGCGGAAAATCCACGGCACACAACCAAACAAAACCCTCGCTCACGCTCGCTCGCCCGGCGCCCTGCCGGCCTACGGAGCAAAAATATACCGCCCGAGACGAGCGCGTCGCGCCTAGCGAAAACGGGCGGCGTACACCGACGACGCGCGCCGCGGCCGGCCGCGACACCGCACGCGCCACCAACAGCCAAGCCGGGGGAAACCCAAAACCAACGGGGCAACGGGCCACGCGCCCACGCCCACGCGCTGCTCCCCCTGCGCTTGCGCCGCGCCGTGCATGCAGCGAGCGCCTCGCTGCGGCAGCTGACACGGCTCGGCTCGGCTCGGCTGGGACGCCACGCGCGACGGCAACAAGCACCATCGATCGGCATCGCGTCCGGCAGAGGCCAGTGGCCGACGATCCTTGGATTCCCGGGGACGCTTGACTGGCACGGAAAGGGAGCTGAAACTACAGTAGAAGACGAGTATTGTAATTAAGTTGCTTAATTGACTAAGGCTCTGTTCGTTTCCTGGAGTTCCCAACTCCCCCATCTCATTTTCCGCGCGCACGCTTTTCAAACTGCTAAACGGTGTATTTTTTTGCAAAAAGTTTATATACGAAAGTTGCTTAAAAAAATTATATTGATCCATTTTTGAAAAAAAAATAGCAAATAATTAATTAATCACGTGCTAATGGACTGCTTCGTTTTCCGTACCGGAGGGATGGGTTCCCAACTCAACCAAAAAACAGAGCCTAAGGTTGAGTGACTTCGATGGCAAGGTTAGTTAACTAAACTTAGAATTTAGAAACTCTATCTAGAACTGCTATAGGCACTAAAAATATCTTGTTTGGGTCAATTATTCCGGTATGAAAGCCATGGGTGTTCATTCACTCCTCCAGAATCTTTAGTAGGAGTAGAACGGAACACCATCAAACGCGTCGGATTTGATTGCTCGTTTTAACCAATTGGGCGTGGCGTGTGACGACCTTGACTAGTCAAGCAGGTTCTAGTCCAAAAGCGGTTAGACCGGACGATGACTCTTGACTATACAAAACGCTTCCAGTCACTGTACGAGCCGGGAATTCAGCTGCAGAATTTATCATCGCAGCTATCCAGCCTAACTACAGTGTAAACATGCCTTACTTAACCACTGGACTAATCATAAAAAGAACAATAACATACTAACAAACATTGCTATAGTAGTACAGCTATAGTACAAGATTAAGTGATTACTGGAATTATAGCATCACGATCCTAACAACCGGTTTTCGTGATCTAATCCCTATGATTAAGGACTGAACCGACTGAGAGCTGACAGGTGATCGCTACTGCAATAAACAGGTGATTGATTGATTGCTTTGATTGATTACTAGATTCGGTGTGTGCAAGCGACACGAGAGAGACAAAATTAGATACCACTACGTACAAGAGTAGATGATGCTTGTTCTGATGGATTTGCTCAAAGCTATCAAAAGTACCAATCAGGCAGGAGTCCTCTATTATGTGATTCCTAGCTAATGAATTCTGACCAAGAAATGCGAAATGTGCTCCGAAAATGGACAGATTCCGCTCCATCACTAGCTCTGCTCACTTCACTTGGCATTTTGCTACTACTGTAATCCAATGATCAAATTCGATCCCTCGAGGCTCAAATTGCACAAGAACACCGCGAATTACAGCGATTTGGGGGGAGAAAAATGTTGAATAATTTTACCAACCGGGACAATGTCGCCGTCGCCGCTATGATTTCCATGCGTAGATCAGGAGGGAGAAGCCATCGCCGCGCTGCATCTCGGCCTCCTCGGGGCTCGCCCAGTCCATGACGGTGGAGCCGCTGGCCCACGACGCCGTCGACGAGGCGACGGACGCCGACGAGGAGGAGCTCGCCTTGGCCAGCCGCCGGCCTCTCCCCCTCTTCCTCCTCTCGCTGCCGGTCTCGCTCCAGTCCTTTTGCCCCCACCGCGCGAAGTAGCCTCTCAGAATGCCGGCGGCGTCTCTCCTCGGGGCCTTGTCGCAGAGAGCCTTGGCGTGCTCTGACGCCTCCTCGCCGCCGCCGCCGAGGTCGAACCGGAAGACGAACACCGCGTGCGCGTGCGCGTGCGCCGCGGCGTCCGTGGTGGGAGGCTCGCGTTGGGGGAAGAGCCAGTTGTGGAGGTCCCAGGAGAGCTGGACACGGTCGCCGCCGCCGAGGTCGACACGCTCGCTGCCGCGGAACTTCCAGCGCAACCGCCGGACGTGAAGCACGCGCTCCCCGTCGATGGAGACGGACAAGCCGACGTCCGCCCTGTCCTTCTCCCTGCTGCTGCTGCCGCTGCTCCCCGTGTCCCTGCCCCGGCCGCGGGACACGAGATCCACGGAGATCTCCCGCTCCTTGCCACGCACGGTCACCCAGCTCCGGTGCCCGCGCCCGCCGCGGCCGGCGTCGCGCATGGCGACGTGCTCGCGCCGGGAGAGCAGCACGGGGCGCGGGCCGGCGGGGCGCCTTGCCCGCGTCCTGCGGTAGGCGGCGTCTGACAAATCCCCCGCGGCGAGGACCATCTCGCCGTCGACGACGACGGCGACGAAGAACCCCGAGGAAGGCTCGGGCGAACCCGAGCCCGGGAAGCGCGCGCGGGTGAGGTCCCACGCCAGGTCGACGCGTCGGTCCCCGGCGGCGCGGAACCGCCTCGTCCCGCGCCGCCGCCAGAGGAGCCAGGGGCGGACGCGGAAGGCCAGGGTCTCCTCGTCGGCGTCCTCGTCGAAGCACGTCCCCACAGACGCCGCGGTGGCCGGGGACGAGAGGCGGAGCACGGCGCGGAGGGATAGGCCGAGGGAGGTGCGCGTCCAGGACAGCGCGGCGAGGCCGAGGTGGGTCTCGTAGACGGAGGTCGCCAGGCTGGGCCCCGCGGGGCCGGACGCCGCCGACGCCGCCGCCGCCGCGGACGGCGCGCAGCGGAAGCACGCCGCGATCGCGGACGGCATCGCGCCTCCGCCTCCTCGGCGCGGCGCGGCGCGGCGCGTCGGATGGTACGAGGCGAGGCGAGGGCGAGGGCGAGATGCGTGCAGCTGTGCTCCCGTGCGGATCCAAGGAGGCGTGGGCGTGTGTACGTGCGGTGCGGGGTGCGGTTAAGCTGAGAAACGAGGGGGGAGGTGGAGTGGACTAGTGGACTCATGCTCGAGCTCGCCTGATCATAGGGATGGAAACGGCTCTAAAATGAACGGAAATCACCTTTAGCAATTTTTGTTTTTTTAATTTTTAATTGAAAACTCAGATATAAAAACGGAATCGAATATTGTCGAATACGAAATTGAAGCAGATACGATTCGAAAAGTTTTCAGTTTTAGGACGACACCTGCGTTACACGAAGATAATGTCATTTTCCGTGCTCTTTCTGATGGATGGGTTTGGGTTGGTTCGACCAGAGGCCTCCGATGTGTCACGGCGCTGGAATGTAGGGACGGGAAGGGAATGAAGCATTGGACCCGGGGCCACCTGGCGGTGACAGAATCAAAATAAATTTTCACAAGACCGAAGTCATGTGGTAGCGTCCTATTTTTTTTATCAGAATTATTGAATGACATTCAATATATTATCGAGGTTATTAAAGTCTCACAAAATTTTGACCTTTAGATTTATGCCACCGACAGCCCTGTAGCTCTTTTCATTCAACTCCGATGACACATTTTTCTCTAGTTCTGGTTACCTTGACGAACACTGTTGAGTTAGGGTTTAGAATCTCGTGTTAGGGTGAAGGTGGGAGGGGGTGGAGATTGCCAGGTTTAAACAGATGGTCATGGGAGGTGATGCCCCAGCGGGAGGGGACACCAAAGCTACAAGGATGGAGGAAGGCGGTGGGCCAGTGTTAGTGACAGAGGCAAAGCAGGATTTTGGTTAGGAGGTGGTGGCGGATCTAGCGGCGGAGAGGAGGGGTGGATATAGGATTAGGATAATACTGCATGAATCTTAAAACAATCAAAATTCACATGATTTTATAGGGTGTTTTCTGTCGAATGCTAAGATTCTAATAACCATGTGAGGGTATAGTTGTTGGAATTAATAGATGGGCTAAGGCCCATTCGAAGATTAATTCTTTGAAAAATCACAAAAGCCCACCTCATGGGATGGCATGCATGTGGAGTTTAGTACCGCCTTGGTTATTCTAGGAGAGGGGGACCTCCTTAAAAGGGAGGATGCCCTCCTAGCCACTTGAAGCATGTGTGGTGGAGAGAAGAGGGGGAACAAGCGCGCGCTTGCTCGCCTCGCTTGGCCTGGCAGGGCCTGGCAGGCGGCGCGCGTGTCGAATGGTCCTCAAAATTGGCTCCTCACCCTTGCGTAGATGCAGCCTCCTTTTGCAGTTTTGTTTTGCTGCGGGAAATTCGGATTTGTTTTGTTTTGAAAACATTACGCGTGACTTATCCGGTTCGGTTACACGGAGTGGAGATCCTGCGGGCGCCCTAATCAAGCGACCTATCTCTATATAAACCGAGCCTCCGCCTTCACGCAACACACGCGAAATCAATCTAGGGTTTGCCTCCTACTTTGTGCTGCGCCGTCGCTCGTAGACTACTCCATCCCGCTCGCCGGCATGCATCGGCGATCGGATGAGCAGGTCTCCAGAACCTCTGCCTTCGATATCCTGCACCGAGAGAAGGCGACAATAAGGTTTTTGGGAAGCGCTTCGTGCGACTGCTCCCTGTTCGTTCGCGAAGGCTCGCCTTCCTCTTCGCTCGCGTGCTTCGCGCCTTCGTCGACGCTCGCAACTGCGAGTAGTTCCTGTCGAGCAACCGATCTTTCCACCACCTCGGTACGTGTTCGACATGTTGCGCATATTTGATCTGTTCATGTTTTACTGCCTAGTTTACATGTGTAGATCTAATGATGCGTTCAATCTAGTTTACATCTGCAATGTCATGATTTATTTATGGAATAAATTAAATCATTATGTGCTTATAATTTCAACAATCCAAAAACCTTATTATAGGCGCTGTGATTTTACTATGGTTGGTTTTGCCGATGCACTGAGGCCAGATAAATTCACCGGTGTGCACTTCAAGAGATGGCAGATCAGGGTCATTCTGTGGCTAACAGCTATGAAATACTTCTGGGTGAGTACTGACAAGCCTATGGGCGTTCTTAATGCTGATTAGCAGAAAGAATTCGATGAGACCACTACTCTCTTTGTGGGATGCATTCTTAGCGTGCTTGGCGATCGTCTGGTCGAGGTGTATATGCATATGACCGACGCTAAGGAGTTGTGGGATACACTGAATACTAAATTTGCTGCTACTGATGCTAGCAATGATCTGTATATCATGGAGCAGTTTCATAACTACAAGATGGCTGACAACCGTTCTGTAGTCGAACAGGCTCATGAGATACAAACCATGGCTAAGAAACTCGAACTCCTTAAGTGTGTCTTACCCGACAAATTTGTGGCCGGGTGCATTATTGCGAAACTACCTCCATCTTGGAGAGGTTTCGGTACTGCACTCAAACACAAGAGACAGGAATACTCCGTTGAGGGGTTGATAGCGTCTCTTGATGTTGAGGAGAAAGCTCGGGAAAAAGATGTCGCGTCTAAGGGTGATGGTGGGCAGTCCAGTGCCAATGTTGTGCACAAGGCCTAGAACAAGAGCAAGGGGAAATACAAAGCTCAACAGACCACCAACTTCAAGAAGCAGAAGAAGAACAACAACAATCCTAACCAGGATGAGAGGACTTGCTTTGTGTGTGGGCAACCTGGTCATCTGGCTAGGAAGTGTCCATAGCGCAAGGGGATGAAGGCACCTGCAGGGCAGACTTCTAAGTCTGCTAATGTGACCATTGGCAACACTGGAGATGGAAGCAGGTATGGTAATTTACCTACTGTTTTTTCAGTTAATCAGTCTACTAATTGGTGGGTTGATACTGGGGCCAATGTACATGTTTGTGCTGACATATCATTGTTTTCTTCTTATCAGGTCGCACGGGGTTCCACCGTCCTAATGGGGAATGGGTCACATGCTTCTGTTCATAGTGTTGGCACGGTAGATTTGAAGTTTACTTCGGGAAAGATCGTGCAGCTGAAGAACGTGCAGCATGTCCCTTCTATCGACAAGAATCTTGTTAGTGGCTCCCGTCTGACTAGAGACGGATTTAAGTTGGTTTTTGAGTCTAATAAAGTAGTCGTGTCTAAACATGAATATTTTATTGGTAAAGGTTATGAGTGCGGAGGCCTGTTCCGCTTTTCTCTTTCTGATTTCCGCAATAAGTCTATGAACCATATTTGTGGCAGTGTGGATGATGAGGCTAATGTATGGCACTCACGTTTATGTCATATTAATTTTGGCTTGATGTCTCGGCTTTCCAGCATGTGTTTAATTCCTAAGTTTTCCATTGTCAAAGGTTCTAAGTGCCATAGTTGTGTACAATCAAAGCAACCTCGCAAGCCTCACAAGGCTGCTGAGGAGAGAAACTTGGCACCTCTAGAACTCCTACACTCAGATCTCTGTGAAATGAATGGGGTGTTGACGAAGGGTGGAAAACGATATTTCATGACGTTGATTGATGATGCTACTAGATTTTGCTATGTGTACTTGTTGAAAACGAAAGACAAGGCTCTAGACTATTTTAAAATTTGTAAGGCAGAAGTTGAAAATCAACTTGACAGAAAGATAAAAAGACTTAGGTCTGATCGTGGTGGAGAGTTTTTTTCAAACGTGTTTGACTTATTCTGTGAGGAACATGGCATTATACATGAGAGGACGCCTCCCTATTCTCCCGAGTCTAATGGGATTGCTGAAAGGAAGAACCGCACACTGACCGACTTGGTGAATGCCATGTTGGACACCGCGGGACTACCTAAGGCATGGTGGGGGGAGGCATTGTTGACCTCGAATCATGTGTTAAACAGAGTTCCTAACAGAAATAATGACAAAACACCATATGAGATATGGATTGGGAGAAAAACATCACTTTCTTACTTGCGCACATGGGGGTGCTTGGCGAAAGTCAATGTACCAATAACGAAGAAGCGCAAACTTGGACCTAAGACTGTGGACTGTGTCTTTCTGGGATATGCTCACCACAACATTGCCTATAGATTTTTAATAGTTAAATCTGAGGTACCTAACATGCATGTTGGTACAATTATAGAGTCTCGTGATGCTACCTTCTTTGAGAGCTTTTTCCCAATGAAGGATACACATAGTAGTTCTAGCCAATCCTCTGAAATAATTCCCAGTTCAATCACACCATCAGAACAAACTGAACATACACTTGAACATGTCACTGAGGAGGATGACAGTGAAGCTCCTCGAAGGAGCAAAAGACAAAGGACGGCTAAGTCTTTTGGTGATGATTTCACTGTGTACCTCGTGGATGACACTCCTAAGTCAATTTCAGAAGCATACGCATCTCCTGATGCAGACTACTGGAAGGAGGCTGTCCATAGTGAAATGGATTCCATTATCGCTAACGGGACTTGGGAGGTGACAGAGCGACCCTATGGGTGTAAACCTGTGGGGTGTAAGTGGCTGTTCAAGAAGAAGCTCAGGCCTGACGGTACTATTGAAAAGTACAAGGCTCGGCTTGTTGCTAAGGGCTATACTCAGAAAGAAGGCGAAGATTTCTTTGACACTTACTCACCTATTGCTAGATTGACCACAATTCGTGTGCTACTTTCCCTAGCAGCCTCACATGGTCTTCTCGTTCATCAAATGGACGTTAAGACAACTTTTCTTAATGAAGAGCTGGATGAGGAGATCTATATGGATCAACCTGATGGGTTTGTAGTTGAAGGTCAAGAAGGCAAAGTGTGCAAATTGTTGAAGTCTTTGTATGGTCTGAAACAAGCTCCTAAGCAATGGCATGAGAAATTTGACAAAACATTGACATCTGCAGGCTTTGCAGTCAATGAGGCAGATAAATGTGTGTACTATCGCCATGGTGGGGGTGAGGGCGTTATTCTGTGCTTGTATGTTGATGACATACTGATATTTGGGACAAACCTTGAGGTGATAAATGAGGTTAAATCATTTTTGTCTCAAAATTTTGATATGAAGGATTTGGGAGTAGCTGACGTTATCTTAAACATTAAGCTAATTAGAGGTGAGAATAGGATTACACTCTTACAGTCCCATTATGTGGAGAAGATCTTGAATCGCTTTGGCTACATTGATAGTAAGCCTTCTCCAACACCTTATGATCCTAGCTTGTTGCTTCGCAAGAA